CTCAAAGACAGGGGCACGAGGGTCACCACGAGAGGCTCCTACAGCGACTATGCTCTTCTCTGCTGCTAGGAGGCGCTCCTCGAGGAGATCAACGGTGAGGGTGGTGGGGCAAACAGAGAGAAAGTGGTCCCTGACCGGACGAAGGGTGTCAGGGAGCCGGGTGACTACGTAGTAGAGGGTGATGTACATAGGGGGGGGGTTCTTGGCGCAGAACTCAGGAGGAAGGGCAGCGCGGTAGCGAGTGTCACTAGTGCGCAGGTGCGTAATGAGGTCAGCGACTGTGGGAAAAGCGGCGAGGTCAGGGAAGAGGTACGGCAGGATGAGGCGGCTAAGTGCAGCAGTGGCAGGGGAAGAGTAGCGTGCAACTACAGCGTCGTACAAGGTCTTAGCACTCTCGTACTGACTAAAGTGTGCACGCTCAGCGGTAGGCAAGTGGCGGCGCACAGCAAGACGGGCAGCAGCGTCGCGTGTGGCCCACTGTGAGCGAACAGTGGCGTCAGCATCAGCAGCAGGGGCAGAAGAGGCACCAGAAGTGAGGTCAAAGAGAGAGAGACCGTCTGCCCTGTCGCACTGTAGGAAAAGCTGCAGGTCATCTACCCAGACGTCAAAGTCAATGGCCCGACCCTCAGCGTCAAAAGCGAGGACACTGGGGGTAGCCATGACAGCAGTAGACTAGCAGCTGGAGTAGTAGGGTAAGGGCAGCGCAGTGGTAGAGGTGCCGCTCTTACCGGACAGGGTGGCTCGGGCGGCTCGGCAGCTCGGCGGCTCGGCAGCAACTGCAACTCGGCGGCTCGGCGGCTCGGGCGGCTCGGGCGGCTCGGCGGCACGGCGGCTCGGCAGCAACTGGAGCTCGGCGGCTCGGCGACTCGGCGGCTCGGGCGGCTCAGGTGGCTCGGCGGCTCGGGCGGCTCGGGTGGCTCGGGCGGCTCGGCAGCAGCGGCGGCTCGGTAGATCGGCGGCTCAGCGGCGCCGGCGGCTCGGTGGTGACGGCGGGGCCGCGTGGGGACGGCGGCGGGGCCGGGTGGGGCGGCGACGAGGCCGCTGAGGGCGGCGGCGGGGCCACGAAGGGTGGCGAACGGCGCCTTAAGGGTGGGGCCGCGGGGTCGCAAGGGTGGGGCGACGGGGCCAGCAGAGGCGGCGCCGGGGCCGGGAAGGGCGGCGCCGGGGCCGGGAAGGGTGGCGCCGGGGCCGGGAAGGGTGGCGCCGGGGCCACAAGGGTAGGCGACGGGGCCGCGAGGGCGGCGTGGAGGGGTCGCGAGGGCGGCTCGAGGAGGCCGCGAGGGCGGCGCGAAAGGGCCGCGAGGGCGGCGCGAAAGGGCCGCGAGGGCGGCGCGACGCGACGGGACCGCGAGGGCGGCGCGACGGGGTCGCAAGGGCGACGCGACGGGGCCGCTAGGGAGGCGCGACGCGACGGGGCCGCTGAGGCGGCGCGACGGGGTCATAAGGGCGGCGCGACGGGGCCGTGAGAGGGGAGCGCGACTCGGGCAGAGGCTGAGCGCGCTCCAGGCAGGAAAAAAAAAGTTGGTGGGCCCTAGGAACAGTTCCCACAGGGGAACCTGCTCTATACCATGTGAAAATGAACGAGGAATGAAAAGACTAAGGGAAAGTTGGGTACAAGTACAAACCCTAGAAAGCTGTACCCCATATGTGCTACCCCACTATAGCCTACAGCAGCTAAGTCATATAAATCTGACAAAAATGGAAAGGAAAGAAAGGCAGGGGAGGAAAAAATCATAATAACCAAACAGAATACAACCTAATGGTGCTAAGGTAAAAAAATAATGAATAGCGACATACATAGAAAACAGAACCCAAAAAGCAGAGCAAGTAACAAAACAACAAACAACAATATATCTTAGCAGTGGATTTCACAGATAAACGAGCTCACCTAACGAGGGAGAGAGAACGAGAGAGAGAACGAGGGAGAAGGAACGAGGGAGAACGAACGAGAGAACGAGAAAGAATGAGAGAGAGAGAGAACGAGAGAGAGAGAACAAGAGAGAGAGAGAACGAGAGAGAGAGAAAGATCGGGAGAGAGAGATCGAGAGAGAGAGAGAGAGAGAGAGAGAGAGAACGAGAGAGAGAACGAGAGAGAGAGAAAGAGACAGAGAGAACGAAGTAGGGAGAAATCATCAACTAAATCATGGAATATGGAAAGTGAAATAGAGAGAAAGATGGAAGCAAGGAATTGGAACTAACAAAGAGAAAACAGAGAGAGCACATGCAGGGGGGAAGAGAGAAACACGAGGTGGTGCAGAAACTAAGAGGAACGAAGAATCGATGCAACTACGAACAAAAGATTGTTGCACCAAAGAATCGCTACTTTCGACCATTCTAGTTGAGAAGATTGTGCAAAAAAAGAAAATCCAAGATTACAAGGTCCAGGATAAGGAAACAAAGATTGACGCGATAGTATGGATGTAGAAGAAAAGGAAGGGAAACAATTACTAGCAAGGAAACATAAACGAAAGAAACGGAAAAACGGACGGAGAAAAGCAAGAACTCACCACGGCGGTTCTACATATCTGAACGGCGACGTTCTTGTAGTCCACGGCCACGGCAACAAGAACCACAGGCGCAAACGCAAACGCAAAGGATGTAATAAAATAAGAATCAGGTTACGCGGTACTTAAATGGAAATGGAGGAGTCGTCAGTGTAAGAAAGGAGCAAAGGAGAAAACGAAATAGACAGATCTGGAAAGACATAGCCTAAATGAACTGGAGGTGAGAAGGTACACAAGAGATTAAGCGTGAAGACTACGAAAAGTAGGAACACATGAGAAAGGAATAAAGAAAGCAGACTAATGAGCAAGGAGGTGGAAATTAAAGTAGAGGACAAAAGAAAATTACGACCAGGAAAACAAAAAACGAAATGAGAGAAGTGGCATAAGTGAAAACGAAAGCGAAGGAAACTATGTGAAGACGACTACCGTAGATACTTCCTCTAGCTCACTAAGATGCAATCTAGGAGATAAAGCAACATACCCATGTGGTGTCTTAGAGAGAAGCCAAGGTAAGAACAAGCCTCTGCTGTGGAGAAGAAACGAGCGAAAGGAAGTGAGCGAGAAGAAAAAGAAACAATTGAAACCCTAAGGTGTGCTGACTTCGCCGCAAAGGACGCGGATACAAAAAATTGCGTGAGAAATCTGTTGAAGTCAGGTAGTATACAGGGCTGATTTTATCAGGGTGATTACCCTGATTTCAGGGTGATTTCAGACTTGTCACTTTCTGGACCCTGAGAAATCAGGTTTTTCACATTTTGGTCCCTGATCCATTCAGAGTATTGCTTTAGCGGACCCTGAAATTTTGTGTACACTCTCAGTGTAGGGTTTTCACGGACCCTGTCAATACAGAGTACGAGGCCTGTGGACCCTGAATGCGATGTTATCGGGGCGAAGTTTCTCGGAAATTTCCTCCTGATAACCCCTTTGCATTGATTTCAGTGCCCCCCACGTGCGTAATCCTCCCCCCCCCCCCCTCCCCCCTCGCTTTATCGAGACGAAGTTTCTTCGAAGTTTCGTTCCCATACAACCACCATCTAGATCGGGCGAATCTGTAATGTCAGATTTTAGGTTGCTGTTATTGGTCGAAATAGATGTGCTCTAACACAGCGCCAGTCACATCGCCAGTCACATCGCCACAGTGCCAGTCACATCGCCACAGTGCCAGTCACATCGCCACAGTGCCAGTCACATTGCCAGTCACATTGCAAGTCACAGCGCGCCAGTCACAGCGCCAGTCACAGTCACCCTTGCGACACCAACAGCAGATTCGACCTCTGCTCCGTACGGAAATCCCTTTTGCGCTAGGTCAAGGTGTCAGAATATCATGTTTCTCTAGTCTGCAGTGGGGTACTCAATAGTGAGTACAACCCTGTTAGGGTTTCCTCTATGTACTCCATTGCTTTCTAGTGCATTCATTCCTCATTCTCGTTCTAAAGTTCTCACACAAGGCAGATTCTGCTTGAATTCCCCGTAGACTGTCAGATTTCGAGCAGATGTTGCGATAAGGGTAAAGAATGAGACTTCTGATTGAGTGAGACTTCTGTCCTCGGTAAAGAAAGAGCGCGTTACTACGACCCTGATTTTCAATTCTCGACCCTGAACATTCAGAGTTCACTACTTCTCAACCCTGAGCAATCAGGGTGCTGTTTTTCTGGAAAATGTGTCTTCAGGGTGATTTTTTTTTTAAAGGTTGAAGTCAGGGTACCTAAATTTGAAACGTCAGCCTTGGTAGTATAGTCGAGTAAGTTTCATATGGCAAATGAAAGGTCGTGAGGTCGATTCTTGCGGGCTCTATGCTGTAACGGATGTTTTTGAAAAGTACAAGATTAATCATATATTACATTAAATGTTTAACAGATGCCTTAGTACATTCCCCTAAACCCAAATTCCCTAGTCCGTTTTACCAAGTATTTAGGGTTCACTTGATACAAGGTTTGCTTGATACAAGGTTTCAGCAGCACTGGTGGGTCAGGGTTTTATTTTATTTTTAATATGTAGTTTGTCTGGATAATGCGTACCGTATACATTCTTGCAAATCCTCATGCTCGTCGCACAAGATTTCGACTGGACTGGCCTCGCTGGGGGTGTTTTGCAAGATCCCATGTTGGGTTAGAGCTTGTGCATGAATGCTTGCTAGGAAGAATAACAATGAATCAACAACACCACAGAATAGGAAACATATCGCTTCAGCATTGACCCCAATCCAAAGACAAATTATGCAACCGGCGGCCTGATCATTGAACGGGTCAACAGCAGACTGCGGCAACCACTGCCACATGGGCACCGCTGCAATCCCTTGCATGCCATATGGCATCATGGCAGGCAGAGGTGCCATGTACTGTGGATCAGCAGTAGCAGCAGCAGCAGCAGCGGAGGCGGATGCGGCGACGGCGGCGGCGGCAGCAGCAGCAGCAACAACATCAGTCCCACCAGTGCCTGCAGTGCAAGCAGGAGCATGAACAGCGGCAGTAGCAGGATGGTTGCGAACGGAGTATACTATGAGACCTGCATCACGGTGGTTTCCTGCCTTACACAGGTTAAGAGCAAGGGTGGGAGTGAGGATGAACCATCCCCCCAGGCACGAATGGTGTGGGGATCAAGCCCTTGGGTGCTTCTAGTGGTGCCACCATGCCTGGCTCCCAAGCTGGGTGCACCACCAAGGGAACGACAACAGCAGCACCAGCAGAAGCACCAGGGGGAGCACAAAGAGCAGATCCATGAGCACACTGAGAAGGAGTTGCTGTCGGCTGGGCGTCTGTGGGCGGCTGAGACCACTGATACCGCTGCTGACGTGGCGGCAGTGGATTGGGCGGCACCAGATGCGGCCATGCGGCGGACCTCGTCTTCCAGCTGCTGCTTGTTGGCCAGCAGGCGCACCCTCTCCTCCCTCAACTCGCTCTTCTCCGCCTGCTCACAGGGAGAAATGTGTGTAGGGCCCAGGGTTGACACAAGGAACGCGTTAGGCACAGGGAAAAATCCATAAAATCAAGCCAAAAAAAAGCACCAGCATAATCTAACCCTCACGTCTTTCCTACCCTCCATCCCCTCCACCTCCACTCCTCCTACCTCGTACCCCTTTCCGCCTCCCACCCTCCCCCCCCATTCTCCGCCACCCGCATCTTGACCTCGCGGACCTGCTCCTTCATCCCTCCCCCCAACGTTGTCCCCCTCCAACACCGCCCCTCCCCACCCCCCCCCCCCCCCCCCCCCCCCCCCCCCCCCCCTTCCTCCCCCAACGCACCTTGAGCTCGCAGATCCGCTTCACGGATCCCCGCAGCTGCGCCAGCACGCGCACGGCGTCCACCAGAATGCTCCCCCTATCCGCGCGCGGCGTCCACGGATCCCCGCAGCTGTGCCTGCTCCCCTCTCAAGACCGCGCCAACAACAATCATGCCACCAACGCCCTGAGCTTCTGATCATAGGACGAGTCAACACCTGGTTGTGGTAACCACTGCCACATGCCCATGGGCGGCATTCCTGGCATGGCATATGGCATGGCAGGCACATGCAGGTACTGTGGACCAGATGCAGCCGCAGCACCAGCTGAAGTAGCTGAACAAGCATCACCAACAATAGCAGGTGGACTAGCAAGAGCAGCACCAGCTGAACCAGCTGAACAAGCATCAGCAGCAACAGCAACGGTAGCAGGAGGGGTCGGAAGAGGATGACCTGTACCAAGTTGGTTGCTTGCAGGGGGGTTCTTGCCTTGCACAGTGCGAGGGTGAGGGCGGTGAAGGTGCGAGTGGGGATGGGAGAGAGGATGAAGCACCCCCCCAGGCATGAACGGTAAGGGCATCAAGCCCATGGGTGCTCCCATTGGAGCCAGCTTGCCCGGCTCACACACCGGATGCAGCATCACGGACACAGCACCAGGAGAACCCGGTGCACACGGAGCAAACCCAACAGGATGAGGCGCAGAAGCTGTCAGTCGGACAGCGGAAACCACTGATGCTGCTGCTGACGTGGCGGCGGTGGATTGGGCGGCACCGGATGCTACCATGCGGCGGACCTCGTCTTCCAGCTGCTGCTTATTGGCCACCAGGCGCGCCCTCTCCTCCCTCAGCTCACTCTTCTCCGCCTGCTCACAGGGGCAGCACACACGGGTTGGCGTAAGTCACAAAGTGCATGGCCATGGGGTGGCTTTTGAGTCATCTGCACATACGGGCAAATTGTGTAGGGCCGAGGGCAAAAAGAACAATGCAGCAGACACAAACCGAATGGCACAAGCGTGGCACGAGACTTAATACGAACGGAAACATGTTCTGATAGCACAAGTGTGCTGGCACAAGCGACAGCCCTTCCTGCTTTCATGCTCTATTCCTCCCTCCTATCGCCCACAGCACACCTCCCTCTCTTGCCACCCCTTCACCTCCCCCACTTCCTCGCACTCGTCTCCGCTTCACCCCCGCTTCAACATTTTCCCCTTCCACCCCCCTAGTCCCCCCCCCCCCCCACCTTGAGCTCTCGGATCTGCTCGCTCATGTGCTCCGCGGAGCCCCTTAGCCGGCTCGTCTCCGCCCTCAGCTGCGCCAGCACGCGCACCGCGTCCGCCAGAATGCTCCCCCTGTCCGCGCGCGCCAGCTCGCTCCGCTCCAGCGCCCGTGCTAGCTCTTCGAACCTGCGGTAGAGGGGGGGAGGGAGGGTGTGTTGGGAAAGGGAGGGGAGGGGAGGAGAGGGAGAGAAGGAGGCGCGTTGGGCGGAAGGGTGGCGGCGGGAAGTGGTTTGGCCGCCACAGGCACGGACAAAATCCCTATCCGCGCGCGCCAGCTCGCTCCTGTCCACCGCCCGCGCCAAGCCAACTCCTCGAACTTAGGGAACGGTGGTAGGAGGGGAGGGGGGAGGTAACACGGGAGGGGGGAGGGGGGAGGGGGGAGGGGGGAGGGGGGCGGCACGGGATGAGGGGAAAGAGAGGGAAGGGCAGAGCTGTAAGGAGAGGAATCATAAGGTACCCACAAAGCAGGCGATGGGAAAGGTTGTGGCTGCACTCTTCGAGAAAAGCGAAAGGGTGTGACGGGCAAAGCGAGTGATGGAGTATCGAGAGCAGCCAGCAGGCAGCAGCAGCGTCGCACCTGTCGTTGAGTCGGTCGCGGCGCATCTTCTCCCGATTGGCCTTGTTGCTGTTCGTCTCGCTCAGCTCATCTCGCTGCCTGGATACACACGTGCGGGCAGGGGGGTGTATGAGGAGAGGGGGAATGTGCCAGGAGAGGGGGAATGCGCGAGGAGAGGGGGAACGCGCCAGGAGAGGGGGAATGTGCCAGAAGAGGGAAAGTCGTGAGGCGAGTTGTGAGATGGGGAACGCCTGAGGCAACTGAAGCAATCGACCAATAAAGATGACATGGAACGAGGGGCAGAATTGCTTGCAGGACCAATGCGGTCACGGGTAAGGTCGCTAGACAGGCAAAATGACTCGCCGTTTATGGGAGGCAGCGCTGCCGGTGTGGTGTTGGGCGTGCCATGGGTCGTTTTGCGGCAGCTCTTTCTCATGCGATGGCTCCTTGTCCGCAGCGCTGCTCTCATTGGCCCGACTGGACGTCCTGACACAGGGGGAAGGGGGAAATGGGAGAAGACGAGCTGATGAGAAGCGAGGACGCGACTAGCAACGCCGACAACCATGGCGAAGAGTCACAAACAGCACCGCAAAGTCGAGTCCATGACCTGATATCATGCTGCTATGGAGTTACCGTTAGTAGGCGCAATCACGCTTACCTCTCGGAATCCTGACACGCGGAATCATGCTGCTCGGCCAGCATATTCTCCAGAAGTGTGGAACGCCCGTCACCGTCAACGTGAATGATGACGGAATCCGTCAGGTCTTTCATCCAATGGCACTGGCTGTTATGAAACAGCACCGCCATGAGGGTGGGATGTAGTAGTGATACCGGCGGAAAGGGCGGAAAGATGGCGGAATTCAGGTATAGCTCTTCAGGCGGGAAAGGTAGGAACGCGCCGCGAAGCGCTTGGCTGTTAGGCGTGTCGGTCAGGCGTGAAAGTTGAAAGTCAGGCGACTCAATAAGGCAGTTGTGACGAGAAACAGGGACGCTGAGGAAAAGAAAAAGGGGTCACAGCAGAGATCGCGAAAAGTCTGGAGCCTTCAGGTTCAAGACTAACGAGTCGAATAGGACAAGCCGCAAATAACAGGGACTGTGCAAGGGTGTTGACAGTGAAAGACATGTCAGGACGGGTGGTCACAGCAGCATACATCAAGCTGCCAATGAGACTCTGGTACACCTTGACATCAGCTGCAACACCTTCCTCAGTCGACCAAGTACCATTCCTGATCTTAGAGAGATCATTGGGTGACATTGGAGTATGCACCCTATGGGTCTCCTTCAGCAGATCACCAAACCTTCCCTGGAGACCACGGACATACTTCTCCTGACCAATCTCCAACCACCCATCCTTGACCGACCTGCGAACCTCCACACCAAGGTACGTGGATACCTCACCTAGATCCTTCATCTGGTACCTCTGAGCAAGCACCTCCTTGACCTGACCGATCAGCTCCAAGCGTGGAGACACAAGCAAGAGGTCATCCACATACACCAATACATACACTGGCTCTTCATCCACAAACCTGATGTACAGAGCCTCATCACATGCACTGCGGTCAAACCTTGCTGCAATCAGGGTGGTACCAATCTCCTCATTCCAAGCACGAGGCGCTTGCTTGAGCCCATAAAGAGCTTTGCGCAAGCGATACACCCTACCTGTACCATCATCAAATCCCTCAGGTTGCCTCACATACACCTCCTCTTGAAGGACTGCATTGAGGTAAGCATGATCAACATCCTCCTGTTGTACATGCCACCCTTTTACCGCGACTTCTGCAAGAAGCACCCGACCTGAGGTGAGCTTGCCCACAGAGGCAAATACCAGATCATAGTCCTTCTCGGGCTCCTGAGTGTACCCCTTAGCAACAAGGCGAACCTTGTGCTGTACCACCTTATCCTCCTTGTCAGTTTTCCTGCGGAAAACGTACCTGACCCCAATGGCCTTCTTACCTGGAGGTAAGTCGACCGGCTCTGGATCCCATACACCCATAGTGCGCATTGCATTTACCTCCTTCTCAGCGCCTGCTTTCCACGCAGGGCCCTCAGGGCCACGCAGGGCCTCAGCGAGTGTGCGTGGGACATCACCGGTGCTCACACCTGCCACTGCAACACCTTCCACCTCCCTGGCCAAACACAGCATGCCCCCAACCACACCAGCATCCCCCTCTACCTCCTCACCACCTGTACCAGACTGGATACCAAGCACCTGCAAACCCATAACCGGTGGTGGGGAGGTAGTCGCTGGTGACGGAGGGGCACCCGCAGAGAGAGGGACAGAGCGCTGACCAGAGGAGGAGGAAGAGGAAGTAGCCTGTGTAGCGGATCTCCGCTGAATGACCGAGGGGCCACTGAGCTGCTGCAGAGGGGTGGGCTGCTGCTGCACCGACACACTCAGCGGTGCTGGTGGTAGTGATGAAGGTGGCATCTCAACGTCGTCAGCCGGTGCTGAGGGTGGCGAGAGTGGAAGAGGGAGGAGTTGGGAAATCGCAGCAGCATCCTGCAGAAGCTCCCCAAATCCCTTTGTCTTGTCCCAATCCTTCCACATCACATTCTCAAGAAAACCAACATCCCGAGCAATGCGAATGCGCATGAGAGAAGGGTCCAGCATGCGCCAACCCTTGCTCTCCATGTCCACCCCAACACAGACACACATGACAGCCCGTGCATCAAGCTTGCCACCCTTCTCATGCCCATGCAGAATGACACTCCCCATGCAACCCCAAATCCGAGCCATGCCCACATGCGGCTTCTGGCCGGACCACGCCTCCATTGGTGTGATGGAGGTAGGCAAAGCACTGTGGGTGACCCTATTCTTAACCCACACGACCCACATCAATGCTTCACCCCACAAGCGAGCAGGGAGACCACTGTCGACCAACAATGTGCGAATCCCCTCTGCCATCGTCCTGTGCCACCTCTCCACGACCCCATTCTGCTGCGGTGTATCTGCGACACTCAATTGGGTTTTGATGCCAAACTCCGCTTTCCATGCTTTCACAGCGTCCCCCAAGAAATCGCCACCCCTGTCGGAGCGAACAGCCTTCAGCTTCCGCCCACACTCCAACTCCACGTGCTTATGCCACTGGCGAAGAACTTTTGTGACTGTGGCCGATTCCTTGTTGGGGAGTGGGAACGACCAAACTTGTCTGGTGAAGTCGTCAATGAGACTGAGGACATACACCGCTCCTCCCAGTGACGGTGTGCGCACTGGCCCCCACAAATCCATGTGGACCTCATCCAAAGGCCCAAGTGCCCGAGACGCCTCGTGGGGAAACGGCTTCCGAGCCGACTTTCCCAATAAGCAAGGTTCACATGAGGAGCAATCAGTGCTCCCCGCCCCGATCTTGGTGCGACACCAATCCGCATCTCCTCGCTCCTCAAGGAGGTAAGCAGCTGGTCCTTAGTAAGCGATGGTGATTGGTTGTTCAGCACTACCTTCAGCATCTCAAAGTGAGGAGGTAGTCCTTTGAGTACCCTCATCATCCACTCCTCAACCTCCTCCTTCCCTCCTGCAGCCAAGTACTTGGACCTCAAGTCCTCGGCACACGCCCAGTATGCAGCCACTCCCTCCCCTTCTTTCATCTTCAAGGAAGAGAGTTCTCCTGAGAGTGCCATCCGGTTACACAATCCACGATGAATGTAGAATTCCTTCACTCGTGTGTATGCCGCTGCTGTGCCTGCAGGAACTCGGGTGACCGCTCTTGCTCCGCCATCAACAGGTGCGTTTCCCAACTCGGTCTTGCCGCCGAACTCCCGTACCAAGCAAATCAACTCATCTGGCACCAAGGCATTGCAGAATTGGGCAAATGCCTTTTGATTTCTCCTCTCCCACTTTAGCCGTGCGTCACCCGATGCAGGCCGCTCCTCCGAACCATCAAAGTACCCCCATAGAACGTGTGCCTCTGCCCATTGCTCGAATCGGAAGCTCCAAGTCCAATAGTCGCTCCCGTCGAACTTTGACGCACTCTCCAGCTTCCCTTCGCCTGAGTCATGATCCATTTGCGGCAGCAGCACTGAAGATTGACGTTGAGGTGGTGGTGGAGGCAACGGCGGTGACGGTGAAGTTGATGCGGGCAGATTCACACCCTCTTGGTTATTAGAGCGTAACTCCGTGCTCGAACGTCCGAATGATGAGCCGTTTAGCTCAGATGAATCCTTGCTCCGAGACCCTTCCGATGATGTATTGCGCTCCTGGATCCCGCGTCCGAGCTGGCCGTTTGAACTCGTCAAAGTTGGTCAATTTCTCGTCGACGAAGACTCGACCGTTTCTCCTGTTTTTTTGCTTGTTGGATGCGCCCTAGCCTCCTCTGTCGGCGTCTGCCCTCCAATCGTTTTTCCGCACTTTAAATCTTCCCCGATTTGCGATTTTCCAATTCGTCCGCCGACTGTATTTCGCGAATTGCGTCCGATCCGATCGTCGATAGGTAACAACCCCGAGGCAATTGTTGTAGATCGTGCTGAGGCCTTTCCAACGATATGCTGCACGTCTTGATCAGCTAAAGTTGACTGAGCGCCTCCGTGAATGGATGTCGCTCTTCTCGTCCTCCCCAACGGATCCACATGATTTCCAGCAGTTTTCTTCTCTCCTCCTCCCCTCCCACGTCCAGAGTCCACCACGGTGCAATTTCGGCAGCCCTTCGGGAGGGATGGTAGCTATTTAGCTTCCATCAAGGTGTTATGATCAAATTTCTTGAGTAGCTCCTATCCAACAGATTGCTAGGCCTTCCTAGCTCTGATACCATGTTAGAATGGTCTAAGCTACTAGCGGAAGCTATAGTAGTCTTAGAACCTCCTCCTAAAGCCTAGGAATCTTAGGAGCCAACTTGGGCATGAACCATGCTAGAACCAAAGTGGTTACCAAGAAGTGAAGTTCCAACAAGAGAGAACTCTAACCTATAGGGTTTGGGAGGTGGCCCACTCTATAGAGTGTACACCACAAGTTCTCCCAACCCAACCAATATATTCTACACTAATATAGTGTAGATGTATCACTACATATGTTTATTGGAGCAACCCGAATTAACCTTAATTCCAACACCGTGCGACTCCAGACGATTACAAACTATTCCCGGTAGAATCCTCGCCGCTGTAGTTGTCTGCCTTGACAGTCACATGCTTCATAACCGTATGCGACCATATTCCGTCTCTTCGCATTCGTACTCTTTGATGCGTGCTTCGTTTGCTTTAGTCAGGAGTGCACTGTATTTTTCGTCATTTGCTATTCGTAACATGGTACGGTAGTCTCTGAATTTCCTAACTTTCAGAGGTATACTTCTCTGGTTCCAGAGAAATCAGAGAGTTCATTTTTTGGAAAATGGGTCTCGGTCTCGGACTATAAAACTATTTGGGGGGCCAAGAAAATTAGTGTGGTCGTCAGCCCTTCACTCCTGGATGGAGTATTTCCCCCTAAACAATGTTTCTTTATTTACCTACTAAGGAGCCAATAACCAATTTTGGCCCCTGCGTGCACTACAGTTTGCGCATGAATGTTTGCCAAGAACAATAAAAACAAAATATCTACAGCACAAGATATGAAGTATGTAGCTTCAGCGTTGAGCAGCCCACTTTAGGACCAGACAATTCATGCCACCAGCGGCCTCGTGCCACATGGCCACTGGTGCCATTCCAGGCATGCCATATGGCATCATGGCAGGCAGAGGTGCCATGTACTGTGTACCCGGAGCAGCATCAGAAACAGCAACAGTCCGAGCAGTGCCAGCTGTAGCAGCAGGAACAGCAGCAGCAGGATGGGAGTATGCTTTGTGACCTGAACCAGGGTGGTTCCCTGCCAGGGCATAGCTGCCTTGCACAGGATGAGACTGAGGTGGAGACTGAGGATGAACCATCCCCCCAGGCGTCAAGCCAATGGGTGCACCTAGTGCTCTTACCTTGCCTGGCTCGCACACTGGATGCATCACGAAGGGAACGGCTTCAGCAGCGCCAAAAGGAGCACCGGGAGCGCAAGGAGGAGCATGAGAAGGAGGAGCATGAGAAGGATGAGCATGAGCAGGAGGAGCATGAGAAGGAGGAGCCCCAGCAGGAGAATGAGAAGGAGTTAAGTCGTCTGGGCGGCTGAGACCACTGATGCTGACGCTGACGTGGCGGAGGTGGATTGGGCGCCACCAGATGCAGCCATGCGCCTGACATGCTGCTCCTCCAGACGTTGCTTGTTGGCCAGCAGACGAGCCCTCTCCTCCCTCAGCTCACTCTTCTCCGCCTGCACACAGGGGCAGAGTGTGTATGGTACAGTCAAGAGGTGACTTTCGAGTCGACCCACAAGTCAGACATGCCCTCTCCTCCCTCATCTCGCTCATCTTGCACAGTGTATTGTTGTTCAGTCATGTGCTGCAGCAGTGCACGCCACTCCACTGCACCCGCTCCATACATCACAACATGATCCATCCACAGCACTCCCTCACCGTCTCACACTACCTTCCATCTCACACTACCTTCCATCTCTAACCCCTCCGCCTCCATTCCTCCTACCTCATTCCCCCCTTCCCCCCCTCGTTTCCCCCCAGCCGCACCTTGAGCTCGCGGATCTGCTCCCTCATGTGCTCCGCCGAGCCTCTCAGCTGCGCCAGCACACCACATCCGCCAGAATGCTCCCCCTGACTTCACGACAAAACATATTATGCCACCAACGCCCTGACCTTTTGATCAAAGCACGGGTCAACAGCGGACTGCGGTAACCACTGCCACATTCCCATGGGCGGCATCCCAGGCATGGCATATGGCATGTACTGTGGACCCGCAGCAGCAGCAGGAGCAGTAGGACGAGCACTAGCAGCAGTGGCACCACCACCACCAGCAGCGGCAACAACAGCAGTAGAAGCAGCAGCAGCAGCAGCTGAAACCGCACCAGCAGCAGCAGCAGGCCCAGCAGACCCAGCAGCAGCAGCAGAAGCAGGAGGACGGGTGGCAACAGTGTGAGGGTGAGGTTGAAGGTGCGAGTGAGGATGAGAGAGAGAATGAGCCATCAAGGGAAAGGGCATCAGGCCCATGGGTGCACCCAGTGGAGCCAGCTTGCCCAGCTCAAACGCGGGGTGCAGCATCACGGGAACAGCGCCAGGAGAACCCGGAGAGCTAGGAGGAGCACAGGGAGCGTAAGGAGCGAATCCAAGAGGAGGAGTAGCAGCTGTCTGCCGTGCGGCTGAAGAAACGACTGATGCTGCTACACGTGGCGGCGGTGGACTGGGCGGCACCAGATGCGGCCAAGCGACGGACCTCGTCTTCCAGCTGCTGCTTGTTGGCCAGCAGGCGCGCCCTCTCCTCCCTCAGCTCACTCTTCTCCGCCTGCTCATGGGCAGCACACGGGCACAGGCAAGGGGTGACTTTTGAGTCGACTTTGAAGTTTTCTGGCCATACGCACACGCAATGTGCGTACAGCCCAGTGCGCGAAATGCAAAAGGCAGGAGTCACAGATGGGAAGGCACAAGTGTGGCACGAGACTCAATACAGATGGATTTGCAAGAATGTATACAGTACGCCTTACCCAGACAAACTACATATTAAAAATAAAATAAAACCCTGACCCACCAGTGCTGCTGAAACCTCGTATCAAGCAAACCTTGTATCAAGTGAACCCTAAATACTTGGTAAAACAGACTAGGGAATTTGGGTTTAGGGGAATATTCAGTGGGAGCCTGATACGAGGTTGCTTGATAAGAGGCGTAGGAATACGCACTGATCAGGGCTGACGTTTCATTTTAAGCCTCCCTGATTCCGGGGAAAATTTTCCCCCTCTATTATGGGTGCACATTTTCCAGAAAAGCAGTACCCTGATTGCTCAGGGTTGTAAAGTAGTTAACACTGATTGTTCAGGGTCGAGAA